CATGACCATCGTGGACGTGGTTCATTCTTCCAGAAGTCCCATTTTCAGGTAGTCAGTGCCAATGAAAGATGTCTCCTTGTTCGATATGAAGCTGGATCTTGGGCCTTCTGGCTGATAGCCTTACAGGCCCCACACAGTGGACACTCAGCCGCCAATCGTCACGGCTGGTGGAACCAAATCGAAGCAATGCTCACTGAACACATGGATGGAATGCCGATGTTCATGATGATCGATGCCAATTGTGCACCAGGAGAACCTGATGGTCTGGTAGTGCATCAAGCAGGCTTTGCCACCACGCCCAACACGGCTGACTTTCGCCGCCTATTGCAGAAGTTTGAGTTATGTCTGCCAGCCACCACAGAGGTGCACCAAGGTGATCATGCGACTTGGACGAGTGTATCTGGTCTGACGTCCCATTGCATTGATTATCTTGCCATTCCCCAAGCATGGAAAGGTCGCTGCACACATTCTGAGACATTGAAGGAATTTGATTTAGCCAATGTCCATGAAGATCATCATGCTGTGGCCTTGCAAATGCAATGGAGTGCATCCAATTTCTATCAGAAGAAGCGGCCTACTGCTCAACAGCTTCGAAGATCTGAAGACTATGTACCGGATGAATGTGTCCATCTCAAAATCTTGGACTCGTGCAAGTCTTCATGGCACGACGATGTTGAAGCTCATACGCAGGCGATGACTGCTCAGCTGCACACGATACTGGACCAGCACAAGACACGGAGACATGACTCTGCCAAGAAGCCATATATTGATGAGGAGATCTGGCAATTACGGCAGCGCAAGCTCAGTCTCAAAAAGAAGCACAAATTGATCAAAAAACGCCTGACTTTCACAGCTGTGGCCGCTTGCTTCAGTGCATGGAAAACAGGCAAGCTCATGGAATGCCATGACGAGGAGCTCCAGTATGATCAAACTCTTCGATGCCATGCTATTTCTTCCTTTGTGAGGTTATTTACAACCTGCCGAGAGATGCGGAGCAAGCTGAGAACGGCAAAACAGAGGAATCTCAAGGAGCAGCTCGATCAAATTAATACAAGCACGTCGGCATCTGAAGTTCTACAGAGACTGCGCAAGTTTGTAGGGCCCACCAATCCGAAAAAAGTGAAGAAGCAACAGTTGCCGTGCATCAAAGATCAGGATGGAAGACATTGTCACAGACCTGAAGAAGCCCTCGATGCTTGGGTTACCTTCTTTCAGCAGATGGAGGGCGGCAAAAGAATGCAGCATGCTCAGCTGCGGAATCAATGGATCAGTGAACTCCATGATTTTCAACAAGCGAGCTTTTGTGGTGCACTTGACAGCCTCCCATCCCTTACAGACCTGGAAGCAGCGCTACGCCGCATTCCCAAAGGCAAGGCGAGGGGACCAGATGGTATCCCCGGTGAATTGTGTCATCATCAACCAGCTGCTGTCGCAAGGGTTTTGTACGCACATTTGGTCAAGGTCAGTGTACATGGGCAGGAGCCTTTGGAGTTCAAGGGTGGCAGATTAACTGCCGTATACAAAGGTCGTGGTCCCGCTGATGACTGTGCATCATATCGTTCCCTTTTGATTTCGAATCACTTGGGAAAAGCCATACATCGGTCGCTCAGAATGAAGTATGCACCGTTGTATGAGCGCTTCCTGCAAGCCCAGCAGACTGGAGGAAGGAGAAAGATTCCAGTGCAGCTCCCACTGCACCAAGTGAGAGCTTTTGCAAGGCATGCACGAGAAGTTGGTCAGTCGATGGCAATTTTGTGTCTTGATCTTCAAGAAGCATTTTACCGCATTGTTCGCGAAGCTCCACTTGGCGGGGAAGTTTCGGATGAGTTTATGGGATTCCTTGCCAAGAAGATGAACCTTCCTGACGACTCCCTTCATCAGCTCTATGACCTTTTGGAGGAGCCATCTGCCTTAAGGCAAGCGGGATTCAATGACCAGCAGCGACGATGCCTCCAAGCAATCCATACCAGTACACATTTTTGGATGCAGGGGCAGACCGATGTCTCGCGTACCACAGTTGGTACCCGACCAGGCGATTGCATGGCCGACCTGGTGTTTGGGTTTGCTTGGGCATGTGTTCTCCGGAAATTAGAGCACTACATGGGCCAAATTGATGCGATTTCAGCTTTTGCAGACCATGACCACCTGCCGTTGTTTGGCTGCTTTCCACCATTGCCCACCGAAAGGGCTTTTGTAGGCCCGACGTGGATGGATGACCTGGCCATCTGCACCATGGCGAGCACACCAGAACGCCTGGTATCGCAGATCGGGTGCATAGCCGGACAGCTTCTCGACATCTGTCCCTTTCACTGCATGCAACCCAATTTAAGCAAAGGGAAGACAGAGCTGATGTTGACATTTAGGGGAGCTGGGTCGCGGAAATTCCGAGTGCGACACTATGGGCCACAAGCGGAGACTCAATTACCGGTCATCCGAGAAGGTGGAATCAGCTACATTCAACTTGTCAGCAGATATAAACACCTTGGCTGCACCCTTCATCACACAGGCGATCAAGATGCTGAAGTCCAAATCAAAGCTGCGGTCGGTCACACCACATTCAATCAACACCGCAAAATTTTGTTCGGCAACGGCAACATTGAGCTCAAGAAACGCGCTGAACTCTTTCAGATGATCGTATTGAGCAAATGTTTGTACGGTGCCGACACATGGGTGGCAATGAGCGAGAAAACAATGAAGAGATTTCATGTGGCGATCATCAGATTGTACCGCCGATTGCTACCAAAACAAGACCAACAAGATCACATGGAGGATGAGACAGTGCTCACCAAGGTCGCATTGCCCAGTCCTCTTGAACTATTACACCGAGCCCGACTGCGCTATTTGGCAACCCTTGTCAAGGCTGACATTGCCGATGCATGGGCCCTTCTTGCCAAAGACTCGCAATGGTTGGGACTTGTGGAACAGGCCATGCTATGGATGTGGGAGCAACTCCGAAGCTCCTCGTCCTTGCCAGATCCCAGGCAAGATTTCATGCAATGGTTGAGGCTGATCCAGAACAGTCCAGGTTACTGGAAACGGCTGGTCAGAAGAGCCTGCGAGCACAGTGTCCTGCAGAGAACCAAACGTCATCACGTACGTCAATTTCATGCTGAAGCGTTGAGACGTTTGGCAGTGGCATGCCCTGACCTACCCGCTATGAGTCGTGACGCCTCACCGGAACCAGGAAACAGTGGTTATTTTGGATGTCTTCAATGCCAAATCAAGTGCCGCTCACGTGCTGGAGAAGCTGCCCACATGTGCAAAGCGCACTCACAAATTTCCAGGCTCCGTTCTCTTTTTGATAGCCCCACCTGCCCATTCTGTCTCAAGTACTTCCACACGCATTCCAAGATGAAAGCGCATTTGTACTATTCTGAACGTTGTCGCACGGGTCTGGAAAGTGCAAATATGGCGTGTGATGTTGGGCCAGGTGCTGGTTCGCAAGCAGATGCGAGACTGGAGAAGGTGCATGATCGTGTCCTCCCTCCTCTTCAGGCCATGGGTCCTCGACCACAAGAGCCCAGACGTCGCGATACCATTGTTTACCATGAAGGATTCTTTGACTTCATTGTGCAGTTTGTGACGGAGAATTTTCAGGCGGCGAATTTAAATCAGGCGATCCGAGGCTTTGTGGCACAGCAGGCTTTGTCTTGGACTGATTTTTGCGGGACGATCCAGCACTTTGTGAATCACTTTGAGGCGAACGATGCGGAAGTCTTTCAGATTGACCTGATTAATCTGCGGGACGCCTTCAACAAGTTGATCGATCCTGCGCATTGGCCCTTCCTGGAGGATCAAGAGGGACACAGGAAGAGACCGATTACGATGTCAGAGCATGAGCAACGCTGTGTGGAAATCGAGGAGCACATTCGACAGTATGGTGTCGCCAAGTGCCCAAGGATGGTGGGACGACATCGTGTGCTCTTGCACGCGTACTCTGGTCGACGCAGGGTGGGAGACGTGCAGTACTTCCTGGAGCAGTTTGCAGCCCTGCGACCGGACTATGTGATTCACGTTGTATCTCTTGATATCATAGTCGACACCCAGTGGGGCGACGCATCCAACCCGGCCACAAGGGAGTATTGGATTGAAGCAATCAAAGCTGGCTACGTGCTAGCCTTTGTAGGGGGCCCGCCCTGCGAAACATGGTCGAGGGCCAGAGGTCAGCCAGCCCTTGAGTCACAAAAGCAGGGCCCCAGGATCATCCGGGATGTGGACCACCTTTGGGGCTACGACGCGACCACTCTACGTGAAGCTCTCCAACTCATCATGGGTAAAACTCTTCTCTGCTTCGCTCTTTGGGCAATTTTGGAGCTTGCTCTCTGCGATGGCTTCGGGATTCTTGAGCATCCTGCAGAACCAGAAGACGCTCCTGAGAAGGCCTCCATTTGGCGCCTCCCATTGGTTCGCACTTTGCTGGCCATGGACCATGTACAGAAAATTCGATTTGCACAGGGGCTTATGGGCTCATTTGCCCCGAAGCCCACACATTTATTAGTTGTCAACATGCCAGAGCTCATCCTTGACTTGCACAGGAATCGTGTCCGCCGTGAGCTACCGAAGGCTCAAGCGATTGGGAAAGACCAGTCGGGGCATTGGAAGACCACGATTCTCAAGGAGTATGCTCCGGCATTTTGCAAAAGCATGGCTGAAGCTTTCATCCGGTCCTTTGACTCTTGCAAGCAGACCCCGGCACATGAGGTGCCTGAAGCCTGCAGCAGTGTAAAGACATGAGCTGCCAGGATTTTGGCGATTACGTGGGTGCTGACTTCGCACATGGATGAGCCAGCCAGGTTTCGAATTTGCACAGCATGATGGCCGCAGCAGAACGCTACAATGTGCCAGAGAGAAAAATATATATATATACGCAGTATATATATATATACAGTATATATATATATATATATGTATATGTAATTATATACATATGTATGTATATAAGCCAACTCTCAGAATCTCTCAGATATGATACTGTGCAAAACCATCCTATCTTCACCACCATGGCTTGGACTCTGACACCTCGGAACGACGGCGGACTCCTCGACGTCCATCGCAGCGAGTTTCTGGTGGACGGACATCGGTGCACCGAGACGCTGGTGCAATGGAAGGGCGGTGAGAGCTCTCTGGTAGCAATGATGGTTGGTTAAGGTGGAACAAAAAATAACCACCCCCCCAGGGCCCCAGAAGACAGAAAAAGAATACTGTTCTTAATAGTTCCAAAGTTTGGTAGGTATATAGACGGTGCCTTTGGTGAGGGTTACTAATCCCTTCTTCCTATTACTAAAAACTCCCCCAAATAAAAAATGGATTGGTGTGGCACTTTCCGTTTTTTTTCGGTGGGCACAATTGGATTCTTAATTGTGGTAATTGAGAATCAATAGGAGAACAGGATGGCGAAACAATGGGTTCAACCCCCTATCAATCAAAATAGATTGCCACATGGAGGTTTTTTATTAGGGTCCCATCTCACAAGTTTTATTTTTATATTGGAATATTAGGGGGAAGCTTCGAAATCCAGTTTTTGGCAATATTTTATCTAGATTTTCCTGGGGTTTAATCAAAATTGAAATCGAGTTTTTTGTTACTTGTTTTACTAGGTAGGGTTTTTCATTGAATATTAAGGGCGCCCTAGTACAAAATACTTCCTAATAATAAAAAGAGATCACCGTTGGGGAGAGGATTACAATGATGAAAAGCATCATATTTCATCATATTTCACTATACCACCTTCTCAACCGGCTAATGCGCCTCAAACAAGTGATGCACCAAATGGATTCAAGTGGTCCTGCATCAGAAATTCACCACGACCGAAGATATGAAAAGGGGTTGGGCCATGTTAGGTCCACTTGCTAACATCTTTTTTGGGATCTGGCTTTTGATACCACCCCTTTTCCATCCATCGCTGGTAAGCTTGGGCACTCACAAAAATCATTGGTTTTCAGAATACGTTTTTAAAGGACGGATGTGTCTTCCGTTTCGGTGGTTTTCTGGAGATTTCCAATTGCAGTGGATCAAGGCTATATGTTGTAAGCCACCATAGTGACAAGCGTTCCGCATGGGAGCGGCCAATTCCATGCAAGGTGGCAAGTTCAAGCCATCTTTAAATCCATTTTAAATAAATGATACTAAATGGATATGCATTTATTTTGTTGAATCTATCTGTCTATATATACATACATACATACATTACATTACATTGCATTACATTACATTTACATTTGCATTTGCAATTACATTTACATGTACATTTACATTACATTACATACATACATACATACATATTTGTGTGCACACATGTTTTTACATTGAATATATATTATATATGTATAATACATATGTAATTATGCATATTATGCATTCCTCTTTCTTGCTTTTCTCCTCAGAAGATTGAACTATTTTAAACGTTGGTGGTCCACAGACGCACTGCCTGACCATTCCCAGGCAGCCCTTTGAAGGAGCTGAGTTTTGAGTTGTTCCCCGACCGTGGCGTGGAGCGGTTGCTGGCCCTGTATCGCTTTAAGCCCTGCTGGACGGCACCGAAAGTGCTCCAGAAGCTTTCCGAGTTACCACAGGCGATGCCGGCCCGGGGTGACGGGTGCCAGAGCGCAGGGGAAATGGATCGAAGCGAGTGAATGGTGCAAAAGAAGGGGCAGATGATAGGAGTTGCCTATAATGAGACAGGAAATATACCCGTTGGTCGTGGCCACCCTTTAGAATCGCCGTATCTTCAGATCTCGGCCTACACGACTCGTGCCATCACGTTCTTCCTCCGCATCACCGGGGGAGTTCACGGGCCCACGACTCTTTAGCCACCAAAAGCTGATGTGAAAACTCCAACCCTCCAGAAGAAACTCAATACCATGACCCTTTGTGAAACCACCTAGCAGCTGTTTATTTCTTGTATTGTTGCTGTCCATTTTTTTTGGACTATAGAACTCTTCCATGTTCAATCCACATCCAGACTGATCCAGACTGATCCAGGAGACTTCGTTTGTTTTGGCGCAGTTGGATGGCCGGATTTTGGTACTCTGCCCTTTGGCCACGCAGTCCCATGGAGGGGGTTCTGTATGCTCCTTGCGCGGCAGCGCGCGCGGCTTGGATGATTTTGAGCTCGTGATGTTGAGAGCCTTGGCGGCAGCAGCTTGTGTAGGTTTTCCGGTTGTGAATGTTGGCAAGTGCTGAAGTGGTCTAGACTCTAGAGAGTAACTGAATGTTATGCTACTTGATATTATTATTATTATTATGATTATGATTATTATTATATTATATTATATTATATTATATCATATATTATATATCATATATATTATATGATTAGGTGTGTGTAAATGATATTGTATAATTACATTTGTGCATGTTATGCATTGTTTATTTCATTGTTGTTTACATTATTTAGAATTATACATCCATATTTTTTATATCATATAAATATACATTGATGCACTATATATATATATATATTATTTTACACATTGGTCATTGGTACGCAATGTCTATGTATACTGTATTAAATTAATTTGTTAATGTTGCACGCACACACATGAACATATCAACACGAGCATTCACACATATATGTATATATATATGTATTTTTTTACACACACACACACACATACGCCCACGCCTGAATTGCGGAACAGATTTCAGGTGATGGGTCTGATTCCCTTCTGTTTTTGGTGTGTGTCATAGATGAAAATTTGAACACAGCAACGCACTCCTGAGCGCATTCTTGGGCCAGGAACCATGACTTGTGTCATCTTGTGTCCGCCTTGAATTGCGTAACCTTTTGCAGGAAGCTGGGTGCCATGCTCTATCCTTTGTTGCCCCGCCCCTAGTACTCAAAACATCTTAAAACTCTTAAAACCACCCATATGGATACTAAACCAGGGGATGGTTTTACTTGAAAAACATACTTCAATGGAAGTTGGGAGGGTTTGGAAGGTTTCAAGGGTATCTCAAATTTGCCATGGATGCAGATTAGATGAGATTATGAGGTGGAACTGCATATAACCTATCCCAAACATGTTTGATCATTCTCGCTGTAAAACCAACATTGTTCACCATTTGTGAATAGCTCACAACTAAAGATACCAAGAATGGATGGTTTTTTATTGCCTATCCAAATGCTAGCAGAAAAACTATAGACAACTATAACTTGCACACAAAACAACAATTATGAAGAACGTGTAGTACATAAAACAGAACCTATGAACAATGGATGTTTATGGTGGCCATGGATGTAATTAATACAATGGATCATCAACAACTAAAACCCATGGACCAATGAATACCCCGCTGGACCCAGGCTCTGGTGGGCCAACGCGGCCACTGCTGCTGGCACTGGAGCTCCCCAGAGTGCGCCTTGGCCGCGCCGCGCAGCTGGCAGCGGAGCGCTGCGCCCTACAGTTGGGAGATGATGGGTGCCTTAGGAGAAGGAGATTTGGGAGTGGAAATTCAAGAAAATCATCTTTTTTTTTTTGTGGGAAAACCATTGGCGAAAGCGGAAAAGGATCTACAAATGGTAGGTTTTCCATATCTATGTTGGTGTAAAGGAGGGTAACATTGAACATCATCTGTAGATGGCGGTGTGGACAATTATTCATTAGGAATCACAAGGTTATATTTCACATTATTTCACCAACACTGTTATATATTATGATATATTTAGGTCTGCCTGAAAATGGTGATGAACCCTGAAAATGCGGGCGACCCTATGTTGAGACATATTTTTTTGTTCCCAAGAGCGTCTGAGCGCAGGGTTCTTCCAATAGTGGGGGTCTGTATCTCACCTTCTCATCTTCACACCTTCTCATCTTCACATCTACTCATCTTCACATCTGCTCATCTTCACATCTTCTCTCACATCTGCTCATCTTCACATCTGCTCATCTTCACATCTTCTCTCACATCTGCTCATCTTCACATCTGCTCATCTTCATATCTTCTCTCACATCTTCTCTCACATCTTCTCTCATCTGCTCCTCTTCTCTCACATATTCTCTCACATCTTCTCTCACATCTGCTCATCTTCACACCTTCTCTCACATCTTCTCACCTTCACATCTTCTCTCCTTTCTCTCCCCTTTTTCTCTCTCTCGCCTTCTTTATCTTTCTCTCTTTAGGCCGAGGGTGGTACCGGCGGCGAGTCACGAAACGGCAACCCTTTCGCACGAAATGAGGGTCGATCGGCAAAAACTGAGGTAAAATTGCGATTTTACCTGTGCCGGAGCAACCCTTTCGCACAAAATGAGGGTCGATCGGCAAAAACTGAGGTAAAATTGCGATTTGACTTGCCCCGAGCAACCCTTTCGCACGAAATGAGGGTCGATCGGCAAAAACTGAGGTAAAATTGCGATTTTACCTGTCCCGGAGCAACCTTTTCGCACGAAATGAGGGTCGATCGGCAAAAACTGAGGTAAAATTGCGATTTGACTTGCCCCGAGCAACCCTTTCGCACGAAATGAGGGTCGATCGGCAAAAACTGAGGTAAAATTGCGATTTTTCGTGTGCCGGAGCAACCCTTTCGCACGAAATGAGGGTCGATCGGCAAAAACTGAGGTAAAATTGCGATTTTTCGTGTGCCGGAGCAACCCTTTCGCACGAAATGAGGGTCGATCGGCAAAAACTGAGGTAAAATTGCGATTTTACTTGTGCCGGACTTGTCTGTGTGTAAAAGCGCCTGTGTGTAAAAAGCGTCTGTGTGTAAAAGTGTCTGTGTGTAAAAGCGTCTGTGTGTAAAAGCTTCTGTGTGTAAAAGCGTCTCTGTGTGTAAAAGTCTCTGTGTGTAAAAGCGTCTGTGTGTAAAAGCGTCTGTGTGTCAAAGCGGCTGTGTGTAAAAGCGGCTGTGTGTAAAAGTGTTTGTGTGTAAAAGTGTTTGTGTAAAGGTGTTTGTGTGTAAAAGCCTCTGTGTGTAAATGTGTTTGTGTGTCAAAGTGTCTGTGTGTAAAAGCGTCTGTGTGTAAAAGTGTTTGTGTGTAAAAGTGGTTGTGTAAAGGTGTTTGTGTGTAAAAGCCTCTGTGTGTAAAAGCTTCTGTGTGTAAAAGCGGCTGTGTGTGTGTACAAGTGTTTGTGTAAAAGTGTTTGTGTGTAAAAGCCTCTGTGTGTAAGTGTGTTTGTGTGTCAAAGTGTCTGTGTGTAAAAAGCGTCTGTGTGTAAAAAGCGTCTGTGTGTAAAAGCGTCTGTGTGTAAAAGCGTCTGTGTGTAAAAGTGTTTGTGTAAAAGTGTTTGTGTGTAAAAGCGTCTGTGTGTAAAAGCTTCTGTGTGTAAAAGCGTCTGTGTGTGTGTAAAAGTCTCTGTGTGTAAAAGCGTCTGTGTGTAAAAGCGTCTGTGTGTAAAAGTCTCTGTGTGTAAAAGCGTCTCTGTGTGTAAAAGTCTCTGTGTGTAAAAGCGTCTGTCTGTAAAAGCGTCTGTGTGTCAAAGCGTCTGTGTGTAAAGCGTCTGTGTGTAAAAGTGTTTGTGTGTAAAAGTGTTTGTGTAAAAGTGTTTGTGTGTAAAAGCCTCTGTGTGTAAATGTGTTTGTGTGTCAAAGTGTCTGTGTGTAAAAAGCGTCTGTGTGTAATTACTTTACTTCGTGTGATCCCCACCATGACATTTGTACATTTTGTTACTGGCAAATCTTCTGGCATTCTATCTGACATATTTTCCATATCTTCTGGCATTCTACCTGGCATATCTTCTGGCATATCTTCTGGCATATGTTCTGGCATATCTTCTGGCATTCCATCTGGCATTCTATCTGGCATATCTTCTGGCATATTATCTGGCAAATCTTCTGGCATTCCATCTGGCATTCTATCTGGCATATCTTCTGGCATATTATCTGGCAAATCTTCTGGCATTCCATCTGGCATTCTATCTAGCATATCTTCTTGCATATTATCTGGCAAATCTGCTGGCATTCTATCTGGCAAACATTCTGGCACTTTATCTGGCATATCTTCTGGCATTCTAGCTGACATTCTATCTGGCATTCTATCTGGCATTCCTTCTGGCATTCTATCTGGCATATCTTCTAACATTCTATCTGGCATATCTTCTGGCACTCTATGTGGCATATCTTTTGGCGTGGATACTCGCGGTTGAGGTCCGGCAGGGAACACTGGGCGTGGATGGTCGTGGTTGAGGTCCGGCAGGAAACACTGGGCGGGGATACTCGCGGTTGAGGTCCGGCAGGGAACACTTGGCATGGATCCTCGCGGTTGAGGTCCGGCAGGGAACACTGGGCGGGGATGGTCGTGGTTGAGGTCCGGCAGGGAACACTGGGCGTGGATGGTCGTGGTTGAGGTCCGGCAGGGAACACTGGCGGTGATGGTCGTGGTTGAGGTCCGGCAGGGAACACTGGGCGTGGATGGTCGTGGTTGAGGTCCGACAGAGACCACTGTGCGTCGAGGGTCGCGGTTGAGCAGGAGGAGGAGGAGAGGAGAGGAGGAGAGGAGACGAGGAGAGGAGAGGAGAGGAGGAGCAGGCAACTGACATAAAATCTAACAACCCTCACCTGGCAGGTGGGGAAAAAGCGTCTGTGTGTAAAAGCGTCTGTGTGTAAAAGCGTCTGTGTGTAAAAGCGCCTGTGTGTAAAAGCGTCTGTGTGTAAAAGCGTCTGTGTGTAAAAGTGTTTGTGTGTAAAAGCTTCTGTGTGTGTAAAAGTCTCTGTGTGTAAAAGCGTCTGTGTGTGTGTAAAAGTCTCTGTGTGTAAAAGCGTCTGTGTGTAAAAGCGTCTGTGTGTAAAAAGCGTCTGTGTGTAAAAGCGTCTGTGTGTAAAAGCTTCTGTGTGTAAAAGCGTCTGTGTGTAAAAATGTTTGTGTGTAAAAGCGTCTGTGTGTAAAAGTCTCTGTGTGTAAAAGAGCCTGTGTGTAAAAAGCGTCTGTGTGTAAAAGCGTCTGTGTGTAAAAGAGCCTGTGTGTAAAAAGCGTCTGTGTGTAAAAGCGTCTGTGTGTAAAAGCGTCTGTGTGTAAAAGGGTCTGTGTGTAAAAGCGTCTGTGTGTAAAAGCGTCTGTGTGTAAAAGCGCCTGCGTGTCAAAAGCGTCTGTGTGTAAAAGCGTCTGTGTGTAAAAGCGCCTGTGTGTAAAAGAGCCTGTGTGTAAAAAGCGTTTCTCCATACTAACAACAGAAGACTCTGCTCCTCTACGCTCTCGGGCCATCCGTCGTCTAGTTTTGATTAAATGTTGGTTGAATGTTGGAGGTGTCAAATTTGGACACCAAATTCAGAGAGCCTCGACCGCCTGGTTTTGCAACCTCACCATACGTGGAGATTTGATGCAAAGGTCGCCTTTTTCTCAGGATGGCAAAATTATGGTAATGATAATGTAGATGTTTTGGTAGCTTATAAACTTCAAATTATTTGCTTCAGCCAAATCTCAGTAGATTATATATATATATACATAGGTGTTGCTAGTGTACTAGCAAGAAAGGACGTTTCTTACTTCAGCCATTTGGATGTTCCCAGGTTAGATTTGCCAAGTCGGTAGTCCTGTCAAACAACTTCCAGACTTCTTCATCAGGTCTGGGCATACAGTGGTCCTGAGCGAATTCCTCTTACCCAAAGGAAACCTTGCTGATTAGGAATGGATGTATTCATGTCGTTCAAGTCCCTTTTAACTGGACTTCTTTTCCAGTCGTTTAGCACAAATTCGTATTGTATGCACTTATCATGTTCTGAGGCAAACGGTTCACACCTATGTCAAGAAATTCAATCAGAATTCCTGCATTCCCGTAAGCCAATCCAATGATATACCCAGAACATGTTGTTGGTATATTGTTGGTGGTATATCCCCATGATATCCCCTATGATATCACCCTGATATCTCCAGGAAGCAGCTGCCTGCCGTGTTTCGTCGCTGGGGGTGGTGCAGTTGGGACGCCCACGGAGTGAAGGTCCAGAAATGGCAACTGGAAGCCATGTGTCACGCGGCCATAGCACAGAGATTGCAGATTTTACCGATGAAAAGGGAGATTTTAAAAAACAAACATAACAGGGATGCATTTGGGATAATGATATGGTGATATGGTAAGTAATATATGATATGATTGCGATATAATATGATATAATATGGTAAGGCATGATCATGTGATATAATTATTTGGGAAACACGTGTATGGTGGGATATCGTGGGACACACCCACTCCTGACTTGATCGCCCACTATTACTGGGCGACCCTCAGCCATCAACGACACTAATCAGGGCGGATCTTATCATTGGGGGGTCCTGGTCTAGGATGGCGGTGAAAATTGCAGGTGTTCACTTGGAGCAAACGCCAGAAACAGGAGCATGACTGTTCTTACCCTGCCAAGTTTCTTTTAATGATACATGAGACTTATTGATAAGTTCCAAATCTGGACACAGATATGCTCAGAATTCCAGTGCGCACATGCATGTGTAAATACTGTAAACACTGTAAGACACAGGTACCAATAGTTGGATGCGTCGACTATAAGGTGTTGGCATCCAAACAATACCCCGGCTTTTCCAAGACAACTTTGGCGTACAAGCCAGCCACTTTGTGGCATTCTTTGTGGCATTATTTGTTCCTGAACGATTGTCTATTCTTGTTGCTTTTCCATTTGGAAGTCGTTAATCCAGCTCTGCAACCCAACAGAAAGTTCCAGGCTGGAACCTCCGCAAAAAAAGACGCACCACTTCCAGAACCAGAGAGCAAAACCCAACAATCAGTGTTGGGAAGTTGGGAATTGGATCAGGGCTCAAAGCTAGAAAGAATTCATCCAGAAGTTTGAGGCCACGACTGGCTGGGTAGCAGTAGCGGACGTACCCTTTGCTAAGCGATGCTATGATCAGCTTGCACAGAACCAAGGTAGGCACCGACCGGCTTGGATGGTCTTGGATGATGGCTGGCAGGTGCGATTTTTTTCAGTTCGTAGGGCCAAGAGTGGAAATTTGCAACAATAATGAACAAATGGGATTGCTGTGTAGGTTCTAGACGGTTTTTGTGGTGAAAATGATCAACTGGCATCAAGGTGGTTTCACATTTACTTATCGCTTAGGCTATATCTTTATCCCTTTTGACAGGGATGATGTCAACCTGAACATGTGTGGGATGGGCTGAACTTGTAGCTCCAAAGTGGAATGGACAGATGTTTTTGATGATCTATAGTTGATTTCGGACACTGAAGGATATTCATGGCTTTTATTTAGTATAATACAATTTTTTACACACACATACATATATATATAGTTATTTGCGATATGTCTACGCTTTGGGAGAAGGGCTAAGTATCTTTGTCCATCCATTTCTGGTGACAATTTATCAGGAGGAAGTCCACAGCGAAGAGTGGCGAAAATGGCTTCACTCTCCGCAGAAACTCGTCAAAAGCGATGTAGCTTACGGATGAAAGGCACTCAGAACTGATGGTGTAAAACCAGTGTCCCAGTTTGAGTAGGGGATGTTTCACTCAAACAATTCTAAACTATGTAGAATATGTTTCATTTAAGCGATTCTCAACGGGCTTTCTCTGTATTTTAACGTTCAATCAGGTGCCGTTGCACCCGGGAAACCACAGTCCCATAATGTGTTTGTTTGAACATGTTTAGTCATGGCAAGAACGGACTTCACACCAGGCTCTCACTGGCTGATGGTTTCATTTCTCTTTTCACCTCATACCTGAAACGATAGTCCAGATTGACTTTAGCACCCCAAAAAAAGAGGAGACAAGTAAAATCCTGTCTTAAATTAAATTGAGCAAACATCCTTATCTTTTTTTGTTGTGTTTTTGGGGGTGTTGCTCTAATTGACGTCTTTCAAAGGGATGGCTCAGCATGTCTAAACCACCAGCTGAAAGTTGGTCCCAGCTGGATGTTAGGAGCCGTTTCGAAGCGAAGGACTTTAACTTGGCCGATCTCGCACGGAAGTTAGCGGAGGCCGACCCCCTCCGGGCACTGGGCATGTTCGCCAGAGTTTTTTCGCTGTAGAAAATGGCGGTTTTCATGGGAAAATAGAATGAGAAATCGCGAGAATATGCATCATATATGTGAAATAGAGTGAACAGAGATGAAAATGACCATCAACAGCACAAGATGGGACATCATGTTGTTGGACAAATCCGAGTGGCTTGAAACTGGTGCAGTTTCTTTTCTTGGTAAAATATATCACATGTAATCCTACTGTAGCATTCACAGCCACATTTGAAACATCCCAGCAGGCGTCGGCCCATGGTAGATTGACACGTTTTTTTTGGCCAGGTGGCTTTGATTATATTTGATTGTAAGTAGGCCCATGTAGGCCCATGCCCAACGTGCCGGGAATGAGCAATTTGTTGCACCAAGCGCTTCAAATAACCAAATTTGGATATAAAACCCTTCCCTGCAATATTCAGTCCAAGCACAGCACCCCTGTTGGTCTATTCGTTTTTGGTCCCCGTCTTGGGTGTATCTCAGTGTGCAGCGACCGGGTTACATTCACAGTAATCGCATTTGTAGAGCTGCTATGTATGATCACATGTTTGAATATAGAATATAGGTTACAGTACCCGTTGTGGTTGGCTTTAACTAATCCCATTGAAACTGATACACTGATACAGTAATTTTCATTTGAGTTCATCCAATAGAAGTGCTTTTCCAAGAGTGTTTCCTTGAAATTTTCATCTAACCTCTGGTGCTGAAAGATGGCACTGGAACAAAAATCCTCAATCTATAGTTTATTTTCTTGATAAAATGCGGGGAATTTTCCAGCCACATTTTCTCCAGGAGAAGATCCAGCTGTTGGTGTGGCACACCTTACTGGGCTACTGGGGCGGTGTGGCGCCGCAGCGCGGCTACGCCGTGGTTTCCAAGCGGCCCTGGTGGCCCCAGGGTTTGCGCTGCGAGTGCCCTGGAGAGGTGGACGTTTGGGAAGGCGACTTCAGCGTTCTTGAAGAGCAGGTGTGGGCGCATGGGAGGACCCCCATAGGATGGCCAAGTTGGATGATTCCTGTATGGTTTGTGGATGTGGTACAGATATATCATGATCATTCATGATCTAATCAGATTTAATCTTAAATTGGGGTTTTAAAAAAAGCTTCTAACTGGGTGCGGCAGCACCTTGTAAGTTAGGAAATGCTATTCTTGAAGTATTTGCGTATGTTTTACTGTAGATATGCCATAGGGTTGCTGTTACCAGGCACATGTCCATATAATATATGTATAATGTCTTTTGATGTAGGATTATGCACTATGATATTGTATGCGTTCTTTTTCGTATGTGCGTGTGAGTGCGTGCCTTTGCATATTTCCTTGCAAGTTGTGTTTAGTTTGCAAATGATCCAAGGAAGTTTAGAAGTCAAACTTCCGACAATATGGACAGATGAATTTGTGGGGTTCTTCTTCGTTTGTCCAGCATTTCCGAGCTTATCCATGTAGGATTTCCTTCGATTCTACAACGATTTCTATGCATCGCTTGCTGCCGTCGGCGTTGCCGGTGGCTTGTCTTTCAGCATTTTTTTGTTTCCCAGCAGAATTGGCGACTTTTGCCTTCCTTTCCCTCCATTTGTGTTCAACCTCAGCATGCTTACATTTTTCATTTTGCCTTCTTTGCGTCACAAAGGCGTGAAATGTGATGGTCAATTTCTGGCGGATCTCCTTCTAGGGACTGCTTCAAGAGCACTAGGGGAGGCCCATGAAGCAGCTGCGAGAGAGCACTTTGGAGAGCAGCCTCCTTTGATCAGCCACCTGGCCAGGCAGTTTGTTAAAGAAAATGCCAGTGCCCAAAGTTTATTTAAGATGATGTCAATGTGGCAAAGCAACAGATGTTGGGTTAGTTTCATATACAGTATACATATTATGCACATGCTTACATACATACATATGTATAGAATATATACATTATATATATATATTTATATATATATGTGCATATATTGTTTGATTCATGGCAGGTTGTTTGCTTCATAGGTTTCAACCCTGAGATTCAACACAATAAACATAAACTCACATGATATTTCTGAGCAAGTATATGGGTTTGTTCGGAAATGGGGTATCCCAAAATATAAGATCCAGTGCTTGATCATCATATTTCGGATTAGGCATGATTAGGCTAGTTATTTGGGGGCATGTCTCAGGAAGAACTAAAAATCATAAATTGCTGGTTGCACTTATAGTCTAGTTATATATATATATACACGGATAATGTATATATACACATATATATATATGTGACTATGTATGTATGTATGCATGTATGTAATGTAATGTAATGTAATTATGTATGTATGTATGTATGTAATGTAATGTAATGTAATTATGTATGTATGTATGTAATGTAATGTAATGTAATGTAATGTAATGTTATGTAATGTTATGTATGTATGTAATGTAATGTAATGTAATGTAATTATGTATGTATGTATGTATGTAATGTAATGTAATGTAATGTAATGTAATGTAATGGTATGGAATGTAATGGTATGTAATGTAATGGTATGTATGTATGTATGTATGTAATGTAATGTAATGTAATTATGTATGTATGTATGTATGTAATGTAATGTAATGTAATGTAATGTAATTATGTATGTATGTATGTATGTATGTAATGTAATGTAATGTAATGTAATTATGTATGTATGTATGTATGTATGTATGTAATGTAATGTAATGTAATTATGTATGTATGTATGTATGTAATGTAATGTAATGTAATGTAATGTAATGTAATGTAATTATGTATGTATGTATGTATGTATGTATGTATGTAATGTAATGTAATGTAATGTAATGTAATTATGTATGTATGTATGTATGTATGTAATGTAATTTAATGTAATGTAATGTAATGTAATGTTATGTAATGTTATGTATGTATGTATGTAATGTAATGTAATGTAATGTAATGTAATGTAATGTATGTATGTATGTAAGTATGTATGTATGTATGTAATGTATGTATGTAATGTAATGTAATGTAATGTATGTATGTATGTAATGTAATGTAATGTAATGGTATGTAATGTAATGGTATGGAATGTAATGGTATGTAATGTAATGGTATGTATGTATGTATGTTTGTATGTAATGTAATGTAATGTAATGTAATTATGTATGTATGTATGTAATGTAATGTAACGTAATGTAATGTAATGTAATGTAATGTAATGTATGTAATGTAATGTATGTAATGTAATGTAATGTAATGTAATGTAATGTAATGCAATGTATGTATGTTATGTATGTTATGTATGTAATGTAATGTAATGTAATGGTATGTAATGTAATGTAATGGTTTGTAATGTAATGTAATGTTATGTTATGTAATGTTATGTAATGTTATGTAATGTAATGTAATGTAATGTATGTAATGTAATGTAATGTATGTAATGTATGCAATGTATGCAATGTATGCAATGTATGCAATGTATGCAATGTATGCAATGTATGCAATGTATGCAATGTATGCAATGTATGCAATGTATGCAATGTATGCAATGTATGCAATGTATGCAATGTATGCAATGTATGCAATGTATGCAATGTATGCAATGTATGCAATGTATGCAATGTATGCAATGTATGCAATGTATGCAATGTATGCAATGTAGCAATGATGCAATGTATTGCAAGGTAGGCAATGTATGCAATGTATGAAAGTATGCAATGTATGCAATGAGCAATGTATGCAATGTTTATGCAATGTAGGATGAATGCAATGTATGGAATGAATGCAATGTATGGAATTGAATGCAATGTAGGAATGTAATGGAATGTATGGAAATGTATGGACAGTATTGGAAGTATTGGAATGTATGGAATGTATGGAATTATATGGAATGTATGGAATGTATGGGAATGTATGGATGTTAGGAATGTATGGAATGTATGGAATGTATGTAATGTATGTAATGTATGTAATGTAGTAATGTATGTAATGTAGGTAATGCATGTTAATGCATGTAATGCATGTAATGCATGTAATGCATGTAATGCATGTAATGCATGTAATGCATGTAATGCATGTCATGTAATGCATGTAATGCATGTAATGCATGTCATGTCATGCATGTCATGCATGTCATGCATGTCATGCATGTCATGCATGTCATGCATGTCATGCATGTCATGCATGTCATGCATGTCATGCATGTCATGCATGTCATGCATGTCATGCATGTCATGCATGTCATGCATGTCATGCATGTCATGCATGTCATGCATGTAATGCATGTAATGCATGTAATGCATGTAATGCATGTAATGCATGTAATGCATGTAATGCATGTAATGCATGTAATGCATGTAATGCATGTAATGCATGTAATGCATGTAATGTATGTAATGTGTAATGGATGTAATGGATGTAATGGATGTAATGGATGTAATGTATGTAATGTATGTAATGTATGTAATGTATGTAATGTATGTAATGTATGTAATGTATGTAATGTATGTAATGTATGTAATGCATGTAAGGTATGTAATGTATGTAATGTATGTAATGTATGTAATGTATGTAATGTATGTAATGTATGTAATGTATGTAATGTATGTAATGTATGTAATGTATGTAATGTATGTAATGTATGTAATGTATGTAATGTATGTATGTATGTATGTATGTATGTATGTATGTATGTATGTATGTATGTATGTATGTATGTATGTATGTATGTATGTATGTATGTATGTATGTATGTATGTATGTATGTATTAATGTAATGTATGTATGTATGTACGTATGTATGTAATGTATGTAATGTATGTAATGTATGTATGTAATGTAATGTAATGTAATGTAACGTAATGTAATGTATGTAATGTATGTATGTAATGTAATGTAATGTAATGAAAGGTAACGTAATGTAATGTAATGTATGTATGTATGTAATGTATGTAATGTATGTAATGTATGTATGTATGTAATGTATGTATGTATGTATGTAATGTATGTATGTATGTATGTATGTATGTATGTATGTATGTATGTATGTATGTATGCATGTATGTATGTATGTATGTATGTATGTATTGTTGTAATGTAATGTAATTTAAAGTAATGTAATGTAATGTAAAGTAATGCAATGTAATGTAATGAAATGTAATTTAATGTATGTAATGTAAATTAGTACAATGTAATGCAAAGTAAGCGTAAACGTAAATGTAAATGCAAATGTAAAGTAATGTAATGTAATGTATGTATGCATGTACTGTATATATATATATATAATTATATATATATATACACACATATATATATATGTCCATGCATGTATCCAGGTAAATATCCCAACGATATCCCCTAAGTTGGGTGAGTTGGCTCGTCGTCAAGGTTGCATGGCTATGACCTTGTGCCGTGTGCACCTGAGCAAGAGCGTGCTCAGCCGGGTCTCTGACGACCATGCATATCCTGGAGTGCCAGAAGATGACAAATCAGTGGCTCGCTGGTGGTTTCAGATGTTCAACCAATCAATAATTTGGGGATTTGACCAGACGTATATTATTATATACGCGTACTTCTCTTTAGATTCATATATGTATAATAGCATATGTTATATATATATATGTACTACACCACACTACATCCAGCAGTTGTGGTGAGGTTACCACTGCAACCATTGCAGCCACCCCAAAAAACACAACTCCACCCACCTGTCGGTCCATCAGTGGATTCGCTCTGCCATCCGTGATTCACAGCAACCAACCTCTCCTATAGGTGTCCTATTTTTGAAACTTCCGCCACCGCCTTGTGCGGTACTACTGGTATCCATCAATAGTTGTCCCAAAAAATATCTTAGATCCAGACGTGGTTTTTGGTGAGCCAGCCCCACCAGCTCAACACAGGTTGCCAAACACCTCTGGCACTGCTCCATGAATTCCCTTTGGCTGGCGCCTTATGTGGCTGGGTTTGGTTAGTTTTTTCTGCCTTGGCAAACGCAACTAGCTTATAGTGCCTGATATATTTCAACTGACAGCACATGGATCTCACATGTAGGTTCATACACCAATACAATGTATAGATATTTGCATGGTTTGATTTTCGGCACAGATCGTGACTGGTTTCCATGTTGTGAGCTGCTTTGGGGGGTGGTGATCGACCCAAAGCACCACATGCAGCTGATTCCAGCCAGATGCCACAAACATCCACAAACATGTTTTCATATTTCGCATGCCATGCTGCTCAAAAAATCACTGTTCAAGGATGTAATATATATATATATACCGTACATCCGTATTGTATATATATATTATATATATATACATATCTAAAATTGGCAATGTTGAAATGTATCAACAATCGATTTTTTTTGTTTTGCAACCCCACCGGGCTTCTACTGGTGCGAATCCTGGGCCAGATGAGTCTGAGAATCCCGGGCGAACACAGACTGCCCCACGAATCTAAACCATGCCCCAAAAGCTGAAAAATGGCCTTCAAACTTGGATTCTATGATTATCCATGGTCAATTTATGGTTAATCGTTAATCTATGTTTTGTTCCTGGATTCTCCTTCATCCTCCGGTCCCGGTGGTTTCCCCACCAGGTCTACTGCGATTGGGATATGTTGAAGACCAGCGAGTGGCACTGCAACATCCATGCAGTGGCCAGAGCTGTGGCTGGTTGCCCCGTGTACGTCAGTGATACAGCAGACGACACTTGCGCTGCAAGATCAGTCAAGTTGCGACGTGAGGGTTGGAGAACTGGTGTTTTTTTTTGTCAAACCAAAATTGTATACTGTAAGAATCCTTGGTCGATTTATCTGGGGGATTCTACCCAACAAGTGATGACTTGGTATTGCAGGGCGACAAGAGCCAATGAGTGGACATTTTGGACTGTTTGTTTCCAACATGTTTCATTTCCAAGCAACCTCGCGACTGGTTCCAACATGTTCCAACATATTTCAAATGTATGTATCCAAATTGTCCCCCCGACTGAAAGACAACTCAATGACTGAGCTGTGACGCCCTCACCACGACGTCACCATATTTGATGGTGAGTACTGTAAGGGAATAAGGCAATCGCCAGCAAAATGACTCAACCGTTCAGTTCATAGTAACTACATATATGGTTGGTGGTTTGGACTATAGTATCTATATTTTATTTTAGTTTTACGTTAAACATCTTTATACAGAATTTTAAACATTATCTTTGGGATGATCATTCCAACTGCCGACGTGGCAAACTGGCAAAGACTGAGGCCTTCAACATGGAGGTCCTGCGGCCCTTGCTGATCCCTGGGCGCGATGAGGTGCAAATCATCCCCGAACGAATCGTTCTGTGCAATCTTTGCAGGTGATCGTGTTGATGTAAGTTGTAAATAGTTCTAACGTTCTAACTATACATCTTAAAATGCACAGACACACATAAACAGACAATCAACATCCACCAAAGAATCAAAGACTTAAATCATGCCTACTCAACCCGGATTTCTGATGATTCGAAATTGATTTTCAAGGAATTTCTAGGGGCATCTCCCATGGGTTGTTGGATGTTGCTGGTTGGCCTCACCTGAAAAAAATGCGCCGAGGTGGTCCCCTGCACCTGGGCTGGGCTTCCAATCGACCGGCAGATCTTTGAAGATCCGACCAGCAATAGGCCGCTAGCAATCGGAGAAATCATATGATGGAATCATATTTATCTGATTTATCTGTGTGATATTTCAGAAAAACACACATATAATATATATATATGATTAATTATGATAAATGATATAATTATATAAATTATATATATATGATGATGATGACAAATGAAATAACTTGATGATAAATGAAATGAATTGAATGGTGATGTTCATGACAATTTGAAGATGATGTGAAATGGACTGTCAACTCTGGAGATGCAATTCTGGGAAAAGTAGGGTGCGACATGTTTCGACATCACTGGTGGACCAAGTCCAGAAATGGTGGTTTACTGATATATGGGCCTGCTGGGAAGGGATCCCAAAGTGGACAACATGTCATGGTTGGGAATTGTCTCAATTTGATTTAATTTGAGGGAAGTGAATGACTTGCATGACACGTAAGATAAAGACATATTGAAAACCAGTGGGGACCATCCACACATTTTGGTCATGTTTGGGGTTTTCCAGATTCAACTACCGTAGGGTTTAGTCATGTTTAATCCACTTGCACCTTCCTCCATTTCCCGGAGAGGGGCCTGGTCAGAGGTCACCCTGGTGGGTGGTGAATTCCACCACTGGTGGATTCATTGCAGTGGCCTTTGGCCTTTGCGACACTGGCGGCGATGTTATGAAGGAAACCCTGAAGCCATCGGACGCTTGGACTGATGTCCCCCCCTCAGATATGGTCTGGTGCATAAGGAACATGATGATGATATAACATTATATAACCAAAGGAATTTGGGGGTACTATGGGGTACTGTATTTTCAGGCAAAGCCGCATAGCCCGTGTTCCAAACCCATTTTTCAAGGTTCCATGCCAGCCTGTAGGGGTGTAACATGATGTACTGTGTCCTATATAAGCCTTTTGCTGTCTATGTTTTGTTCGAATTGACGGGGTGCCATCATGATCTTGGGGGTTGGCAGACCAAAGGGGGCCGGGCCCACTGAGAGATCCCATTGGAGAGATGAAGTGGGTCAGGAAATAAACTTCCCTGCTGTTCACAGCCATGGTGTGCATCAATGTTTGGTTTGGAGGGTAAAGGGATACCAAGGATCTTGAGCTCGGCTGCGAGCACGCCTGCCTTCAAGTGGACCTCAATGGAAGAGGCCATGCCGCCATCTTCAGTCAGGCTGGACATTTGCCACTGCTCAAGTATGGGGGAAGAACGCTATGTGATGCCACCAGCCTGGCTTCATAAGCAAGAAACATTTGAAAACCCAAAAATCCATCCCAAACAAACATCTATATATATATGGACCCAGAAAAACTAGGGTGGCACTCACTTTCAATTTTGCAGCCTTATGGATCCTTATGGTGTCATCGATTGTCACCGGTCCAGGAGGGTTGGGACGTGCAGCTGCACTACATGGGTTTCAGCGTCCTGGCGCTGGCACCGCTGCAGCTCCTGGGCCAGCAGCGCCTGGCGATCTTCGGCTTGGCAGGGCTCTGGAACCCCACGGGCTCCGTAGCCGTGGAAGCGGTGGACGGGCGGCTGCCACTCGAACCGTTTTTGATGACAGAAAGACCGTGGAAAACCGACCTGGGATCTGAGATGATCTATCTAAGTTTGGGATCTATATATACATATATATATATCATATATCTAAGTATTTCAGTTTAAGTAGGCTCGAACGTTTGAGAATGGCTCAAGGATTTCGATAATCTCATCGATAGTCTCATCGCAACGGCATCACTAATTACCCTGTCACCATAAATCATGGTAAAAAAGAGGATGCAACTCAGATCACCTCATTTCAGATTGGCAAATTTACTGTATTTTAGTCAGATCTTCTATATTCTTCTATTATTTGTCGCGCTAAACATGGGATAAAGGCATCTGACTAGTTTGTCACTTTCTGTAGTTAGTTCTACAGTATATTGATTAGACAACTGCCCATTTCCATATACATCATATATTTGGGAGGAGGATGCCCAAATTGAACAAACCAGCATATGTTTCTGGCTTTAGTAAGTGCCTCAACTAAGTCCCAGAATTGGTAGGGAAATGTTCGAGTTTATATAGAGGAGTCCATGGATAGCATCCATATTTGGCCTGAAAAAAGGGTCAGTTTTTGTGGTAATAAACCATAGGCAAATCAATGTTTGTCCTGCTTATTTTTCCCCTATTTGACAGCAAAAAACATCAAACAACATCAAAAAACATCGTTGTCAATGGTAAATAGATGCTTCTAATGGTAAATATCAGTGGCAGCTTATAGGTTTCCAATGGTTTCCATCTGTTTCCATGTCGATTTGGCACCAAGGCGGGTCACGCTTCTGTGCCCCGGGCCTTTGTTGCTGTGGAGCTCCGCAGCCTTCAGGTGCACCTGGGGCTCCAGTCCCGTGACCTTGGTGGAAGGCCTGAACCTGGTGACTTGAACAACCAAAATGGCTGAGATTTCAAGGGGATGTGATGGAAGATTCTGGAAGATTCTATGATAAACTGTTATATGATGACTATTAATGGAATATTAATGGAATATTCATATCATATGAACTGGACAAGGCCATATACTTGTGACAATAATGGGCTAATGATTGGAGAACAATGTGATAATAATGGGATCTTTACCTATATAAGCACAACAATGGGATAATATGATGGCTACCCTCCGGTTTCATCAGACATGGCTTGGCAATTGGAAATCCCCGAACTGAACGAAGGTTTGAATGGATTCTCCGTTGCCATGCTTGACTACCGATTGGTGTGCAATATACATATAGTCATCCCCAAATAGATGGAAAAGTAAATCACCATCAAATTTGTAGGGATTTACTTTTCCATCTATTTGGGGATAACTATATATATATATATGTATAAATACAGTGGCAGATCCATATGTGCCATGGTCAATTTAGTTGGATTGGATTAACCCAGTCCTTGGGGATGGGGAATAATTAAGCAATTTTCATAGGGATTGATATACTGTACCCATTATCTTAGGATTCCCATCATGGGATTGTGGGAATTCCAGGACCCTAAAATGGAGGTACTGTACTAGACATGGCAATATTTTGTAGGGACATTCCCTTACATGGCTTACATTGGCCTTATATATGATACGTACCTCCACTTTAGGTCTGTGAAATGGCCATTGGCGAGATTGGATGACCATACATCATACACCATGTCTTGATCCTTGAATCATAATGACCTCACGTTGTGACATCACTGGACCGATGGTTAGGAGAAGTGGAATCATCCCGCCTTATTCAGCTGTTTTCAGCTTAGTGAATTATTATATTTTCAGCCGGAGATGTTGCATATATACTCACACAAGCACACACACATATATATATATATATTATATATATATATAATGTGTACAAACCATGCCTGAATATACATACGTGTCAGTGTAGCTTTAACATTTGGGGAGTCCATGGGATTCTTGCTTGTTGTTGGCTTTTGGACATGTGTTCTGATGACATGTCTGCCGGTAGCAGGAGTTAGCTAGGAGAGGCTTCTTAGAAGCGGCTTCTTGGATTATACCTCACGATGCCCCAATTTCATGGACGGGTTGCTAGATGTTGCTAGTGACATCACAGCCACCTCCATAGTTTCACATAGCACGCAAGTTTGAAGGGTAAATTATGGCACATGTTTGAGCCCTGCACTTTTGAGCCATCCCCAACGTTGGATGGTTTGAATGCCATCGGATGTCTCCGCACGTTGGGACCCCAATTTTCGGGCCTAGCCTGGCCATCGAGTCACTTAGGTGGAGATGAGTGAAAGTGAGGTGATCATTGGCGCAGAGTGATGCAGAGTGAAGTCAAAAGTCTTTGAATCCTGACTTGGGTCAGTTTGGCAAGCACTAAAGCAAGCATGCATCTGTTCAATCTATCCTGTAGCGTTGGGAACCTGTTCTCGGTTGGACTCATTCCAAATTATCCGGCGCTCTTTGTCCATAACAATATTTTTTTTGGTACACCATCATTGGATCCATTAGGATGTGCTGTTGACTCTCAAATCTTCTGAGGTTTTCCGGGTTGTTTTCCGCTAGGCCTGGACTAAAACTCTTATAGTACGTCGAACATATTTAAAGATATTTAACGGCGGTACATCCAACAATGAACAATCATAAGCCCCTTTTTCGGGGACTGATTTGTTTCATTTGTGTTTTGATATGCCATTCGCTTGGGCGCCGTATTTCCAGGTCTTTTCAGCTAGAACCTCCCGCTAACTAGGCAGATCAATGTGGACGGCCAAACTGGAGCACTTCAACTGGACGGCCGCTTGGAGAACGGTGAGCTCAGGCGATAGCCAACCAAATATTGGTAAACATGCCAACTGATGGATACAGATCCAATTCCAACAAATGGGTTTGTCTAAAAATAGGGTAATTACCTGAGATTTCATTGTTTTATCATAATGTTTCCTATTGACTTGGCCATTTTTTGGGGGTATACCCCATTTTCAGACGCCAAATGAATGACTGCGAGATTGCAATGGAGACTGAGAGAATGAAAGACATGACAGTCATTTTATAGATGCATGCAAAAATGATTGCCTGACTGAATGTAACAGCCTAGCCCCAGGCCAGTTGAACCTGCAAGTATGGACGATGTACTTGCACAGCAGGGGTTGGGAATTCGAAACACCAGAATAGCTGCAGGAGACCCAAACCAACCCATACCAACCTTTCCAATTTGGGTGATTTCTATCTCTGACTTTGATATCCCAGGTTAAACCTGTGACTCTGGTCATGGGGGTAAGAATGGGGGGGACACCTCTTTAGCAACATGCGTGGTTCCTTTTAAACAGCCTCATGTTGAGGTTCCCGAGGTTTGTGCTGTGTAAACATCGGAAGTGCCGTGCATTGCACTGAGGACTGACTCCAAACCAAGTGTGCGCCAGCGGTGCTGCTTGTATGACCGGGCCCTGAAGTGGTGTTGCAGCCAGTTCCAATTGGGGAAGCATTCCCAAATCACTACTGCTGGCTTGGTGTTTGCAAGATATTACAAGAATATGCCAGATAACGGAATAAAAAATGTCCCAACTATGCTCGACTAGCACTGGGAACAATTCTGATGGCATGGAATGAAACATTGGGGCAACATACACTGCCCTAACTCAGAGACCTGAAATCAATCCAGAATTTGTCCAGAAGATGCGCTTGGTCGTGTGCAGCGGCTCAAGCATTGCAACGACAAAACCAGTCAGAAACAAGATGTTCCACCCCAATTTTAGGTAACAACCCAGGTGACAAAGTGTTGGATCATCATGGATCGTCCTTAATCTATACATTATATACATTCATGAAATCAATCTACAGTAACATAAGTTATAGATGGATCTGTTGAATCTATTGCATGATGACAGCCAGGCAGGGGTCCAAAACAAGAGCGTCCAATCCCAGCCCTGCAGAGTGCAGCAACAGCAGGGCGTCGCGTTCTTAGCCTAGACAGGTCGCCCATACTTCTTTTCAAAGACCTCTTTCAAAGAAGAGCCACCAATACAAAAGAATGTTTCAGATGTCGCTGTATACATACATATATATATATATAAATACGATGCCTTCACATTTTTCAAGATAATTACATCCATAGATGCATATACACACAAATACATGCAGAAATAGGCTAAACATATACACTGTGTCGACCGGCCACCATGCCGCCAAAGGCGAAGGCGGGGCACGGAGAGGGTTGGGAGACCCGTAGACAGCTAAGTTGGTTTATAGCTAGGCTACCTATGGATCTATGGTAGATAATCGTAGATATGCATATATTGTATATATATATATCCATAATCCATATAATATCTTTATATATATATACATTCATGGTATTCTATGGTTAATGAATAGCTGAGGAAAATTCATCCCCAAAATCTGGTTGTCAAAATCCAGCTTAGGTTTGGTTTGAGACTGGACATATCCCTCCATATTTTAAGGTGAATCTGTGGCCACTTGCCATTGAAAAAAGCTGGCCTGCTGGTCATGTTTGATTTTGCTGAAAGATATCATTTGTGAAGTATCCATCTCTATATGGGAAAAACATATTCAACTCATATCAATTCATAACCCTCTAAAGAATCAAGATGCAACATGACTAATATATCCAGCAACGACGTCAGGAATTTAATTTTTAGATGATGCCTCCCATGGGCCTGGCCTGGCTAAAACATAGCTGCTCCAGTTCTTGCAGTATGTCAAATTTCAACATTTTGCAACAAATCATATACATACTACTATATATATATATTTATTTAAGTATACATGCATATATCATATACTATTTTAAACACATTTGTATTTATAGTTTTTCTTTCTCCCAGATATGTTTAATAGTGTTTCCAAGTCGTCATGGCATATTCATAATAATATATATATAGATATAGATATTATAATATAATTATATTTATGTACATGTATGTTACATGTATATTATTAGCTCATACGATACTCATATGTATATATGATATATATATATATATATATGTATGTATACGTATTCTTCTATATCTATGTTGTTGCTTTTCAGCTTTTTTCCGATATTTGATCCCAATGCTTGTTGTGAGCAACCCCCCGGAGTGCCTCATCCACCCATGTACCAATACCGTCCGCGTGTTTATATTTCAAATACTTTATGCGCAAAAAAGTGGGCAACTGACCCAAACATCACGTGGAAATCAAACATGCATCCACTTCCCAAAAATCTCACTTTAAAAAGTCTTAACCAAATGAAAGAGAGAGAGAGAGAGAAATCAAAGAATCCCACAAAGCATTCAACATATCAATCTCAATCTTCCATGGATGTTCTCAGGAAGGTGCCCGGAAACGCAACAGCTCCCGAGACCGTCGCGGCGCCGCGAAAGCCGCCGCGGCCGCTGCAACGGCGGCGTCTGCGCGGCGAAAGTCGGCGCCGCCGGCGGAGACCGGAGGTAGGGGTCATGCTTTGGGGTGCAGGACGAGGGACAAGAATCATAATGGTATTATGGGATAATCATGAGGGATTCATCATGAGTGTGTGAAACCAAGCATAGTCGGAAATGTAATGGAATATTGACCGAAATGGGTATCGACCATGGGATTGAAGTTGTTTCGGCCTGGAATATGACCAGACTTGGAGTATGGGCAAGATTTGAGTAGAGATATTATAACCATCAACCATGGGGATGGGGAAATACATGGAAAGAACAAATAAATATATTACCTGATGCTTCAACATAAATGGCTCAGAGACCTTGGGGATAAAGCAGTAAACCATGGGGAGATTTTGGGGATAGAACCAACGACTGTTCAACGACTATGGCGATGTGACGGATATAGAATACGGCACAGTATCATATATGGTGTGTAAATATATATATATATAGTCTATTTATTTATATATTCATTCATTTATTATCATTTATTCATGAAAGAAAGACAGCTTGTTGTGATGTGTGGGTGTGTCTGAAATCCGGGCACGGCCTCAGTTTACAGCAGATTTAGATGGAACAATTGTGATTAAAACCAACGGATATAGGAGCCTTGGGAGCATCCGGTTTTCAGACAAAGACATATGTTTCTGGAATCTCTCTGGAGTTCCCAGGGCTTCCCCATTTCCCCTTTGGCCAGGTTCAGAACCTGCGGCCTCAAAAGAAGAATCAAAGGAATCAAAGGATGAAGTCGTGGAGGAAGTGAAGGAAAAGGCGCCGCCCGTGGTGAAAATGCAGAAGGACTGCCGGACTGCCGGCTTCTCAAGTTCCCATCTTTGGGCTGTCAAATTTGGTCGAATTTGTTGGATGACAGTTGTTGACATAGGCACTGATGTTTCGTTGTGATATTCATTTTGGGCTCCGATGGGTTTACCACGCTACGAGCCCTCACCAAAAGTCAAACTTCTATATCCCAGGATCGAAATTACAGTACCTTCAGATTCTGTCACACCCAGCATTGTTGGCGCGCTTAAAGATATAATGGAATCTAGGATTGCACATGGGTTGACTGTTTGCAGACTTTATGAAGTCAGACAAGCCTCGGAGAGTGTTTCCATTGATCCTGCAGTAAACAAAGGCTTTCTGGCCTCGGCATGCCAAAAAGCACACGGTCCAAACCAAGTCGTGTGGCTCAAAGAAGCCTGACTGTGCAACCCGAAATTGATAGATCCCTTGAAGATATTAGTTAGTCGTGATTCCCACTGCAGATGAACTGGCTGGTGGCTTAAATTGTGCTGAGTTTCTTCAATGTATCATGCAATCTTAGTTGATGATCCCAACAACAAACAAGCAACATCATTAATGCAGATAGCTACGGCTTTTATGTGCTTCTTAGGATTGGCCATGAATTGAAGCCGCCAACCAAAGCATATTTGTTGCCCCCCCAAACGCAGGAGCAGATCAAGATGGTGTTCACAAGGTGTCTCGACTGGAAACCAAAAAGTGGGATGATCCCCCACGTCTCCAACAAATAATCGATGTATATCGATGTAATACAAGTATCAACCTAGCCATTTCATTGACCTACAGTACATTTAAAAAAAAGAGTACTGATGTAAATATGAATGGTATATGAAGTAATATGACGTATGGGTCACTGCTCCGTCCCTCATGCGCGCTTCATTGTATATTGTGTCATTTTCTTGATAGCCTGATAGCGTCTAGCTTGACGGCCACCATGCAGACGAGGATTCAAACAGAAATCCCCATGCTGTTGGAAAGGTAAAGTCATTGGGTACCAGCTGGTACCAGACAAATCTGTCATTCAATGCCAAACATGATCGGACACGACCCAAATGCATGTGAACACAATATGTCAATTCCTATGTTTTGAAGTTCGGGGAGATCTGTACAAAGTTTTGGTGTATGTTCCTGTCTCAAACCAATATCATGACAATATATATATATACATATAATATAAGTAAATATGTATACATACATATATATATATATACACAATCATTCAATGAATAATTGACTCTTTGGATGAGATTTGTTGAATTGACTCTTTGCTTCACAAGTTGCTTCACACACAGATGCACGCGGCAAAAAGAAAGGACATGAGGAGTTCATGATGATCTTTCCTAAGATCGAGAAATGTCTGGCGATATCCCATTTGCAAAAACGGACCTTGACCGGTCGAAGTTCAAGGGCTTACCATTGGCCCCAACCAGGCAAACAATTGGCCTATAGATGATTTTGAAATACAGATGCAGTAAGGTTGTACAATTTTGTACACATGTTTTCATATTTACTATCATTTACTTAAACTTAAATATCAAGCCAACATCTTTCCAATATCCCCAGCTCGCCCTCCAGTAGTCGGATCATATCGGCCCTGCTGGGCCTTGCGCGATCGCAGATTCGACCTCAACGGCAACGGCACCATCGAAGTCGATGAGTTGGCCACCGTCTTTCAAGTCCTGGCCCCACGCGGCTTGGCGCCGACGGGACCTGTTGCTACCGACAACAGAAAGCCATGGAAAATCGGAAGATCCACAATTTTTGGAAAAATCACTTCCTAGGGAAAGCCATGGATTTTCCATAACTATGTTAGCTTACTGGAGGGTAATGCTTGTTTTTTGATGTTTTTTGTTATAATGTTGATTGATTGATTTGCATCTCACCTGTGCAATTTTGAATAGCATCCCTTTGAGCAGGAACCTAAGGATAGAATATTATCAATTATCATATATTATCTATATAATGTGGGTATCTTATACGGCTGTTGGTAATGGCAAAACACGCATAATATTTTGGATATTATCTATATACAGTATATATGATTATATAATCGTATGTGATTGCTGGGTAACGTAATGTAAACGAATTGTATGATTAATGGGATTGATTGGGGTATCAACCATCGACCATCAACAATGAGGATATTTGGGGATGTGAGTAAAATGGTATTTATTGGTCATCAATATATAGAAGGGATGTTGTATTGGTGAGAATAACCATGAATAGCAGGCGAGTCTGAACATGGGATACACAGTATGTGTATATATATATATATACACCGTATCATTGTAACATCGCGCGCGTCCGGTATTTGATGCGCACCGGTTCGCACCGGTTCGCACCGGTTCGCACGGATTCTTTTCGCGCATACAGACATACACACATGCTTGCCTGTCTTTGTGTTCTTTTTTCGTCGGTGGACGTGACAAGCTACTTGACCAGCGTTGGCCAGATCCGATGACCCCTGAATAAAGAGGGTACGACGACACCACCACAGGTATTCCTGAACAATAACAGTTACTTCAGAACAGTGATACCTCTCTAAAGAACCATAAAAAGAAACATTATATTATCAAGACAATTTCTCTCAACAATCTGGATGATATATTTACCACATATTTCCTAGTTTCCATTTTTCGATTTTTTTTGAGTTTGCTGAAAGTGGCATGTTAGTTTCAACCTGCCAATTCCAAGTCGATTTTCCCAAGGACTATACGTATATAGGCTCACAGCAAGTGGTTGGCCTCTGTCACTAGGCCACACAGCCAGACATTCACTTTCAGCAAGCAAAGTCGCCTTTCCTTTTCAGCAAGCAAATTCAACCATGCAATTTCTAAACGTCTAGACACACCTTTCCTAGTCAACGCTTATTCATTTTCAGTGTGTGAAAGCCATGTCCGTCAATGCTTTCAAAGTGGCAGAGCTTTGGAGGAAGGTGTTCCAGTCATCAATCACTGTGTTCCAGCTGAACATGCGACCTGGCATGTCAGAACAGCCTCTAGGTGACTGGCAGTGTACATTCCCCAATTTCCAGCGAACCACATCAGACTTGGGCAGAGGGTCGTTGCCAGCTGTTGGATTTTTCACTGCTTCACTGCTGGATTTGACGTACCGTACGCACTTGAGTGCTGTGTTCTGGTCACTGTTCTGTAAACGCTGCGTAAACGTAGTTGCAGAATGACACTCATTCTTTTGCTCCCTGAGGATCCAGCTGCAGACTCAGTGCCTGGTCAGGACCCATCGCTAGGCCCCGTTCTGTTCTGAGCATCATTTCTTGACCACACTCTTGCAAGAAGCTGTTGGCTGTGTTTGTGGGTTTCGCATGTCAGGTGCCGCAGAAAGAGCAGCTCCTGAGGATGTGCGCTTGCTTGCATCGTTTGCTTCTTTGCAACATTTGGGGCCCACGTCGGCTCGCCTTGCCAGGCGATCCCACGCTCCCAAGGCAGTTTGGTTGCCAGCCAGTTGATGCATGAGGCACAGGCACAGGTGGGAAAGACAAATATCGATCGATTGATGAAAACTTTGCAAGAAGCAGCAGAAAAGAAGATTGGTACCTGGTATATTGTACATTCAAGTACGTTCATCCGTGCCGCGTGTTGCTCAAGCCTGATCTTGCGCCAGAGTACAGGAATAATGTTGTGAAGATGATCGTTCAGGCACCGCGCCTTAGTTTCATGCTACCAGACAGCCATGTGATGGTCCCTGGTGGACGCGCTCATAGCTTGACATTCCGCAATAAGAGTCTTCCTATCCGCTCCCGTAGCCTCCCTTTGTTTATCCGACGCATCTCTTTCCTTTTCCCTCTCAATGCCGGTACCCTCCCTTTCGGCGCCTGCGCGTAACGCGAGCATGGATGCCATTCGCCAGCAGGGCACGGCCCAGCAGGCAGTACAGGGCACGGCCCAGCGTCGGGGACAGGGCACGGCCCAGCCCCTCATCACGAACTCAGTTGAGTCAATAATGGTGCACTGCTCCTGGCTCAGAAAGTTTAGGTCCTGGAATCTATAGACATGGTGACATGGTAGTCCATGAGTCAAAGCATGTTTCAATATCCATGAGCAGATACGCTACCACATGACAATATGAACTACGGATTTGTACTTTGGCGCCGCTCCTTAGTTGAACATTCTCTCCAGCTATGGCGTGCGCAGTGTGCACCCTAGAGTTTGAGGAGGGTGAGATCCGGCTGGACTTAGAATGTGGACACATGATGCATCAGGATTGTTGCCGCAGGTTGTGCAAGCTACGAAATTGGGAGGCTAGTGTCACATGTCCGACCTGCCGGTGCATTTGTGCCCCTGCGGTTCATGTGGCTACGCAGAAAGAAGTGCCAGCAACTCAGCCCTCTCAAGCGGGTCCAATGCATCTTGAAGCTGAAAGATCCCCAGGAACACAAGACCTTCCAAATTCCCAGCTGTCCACTCCGCATGACGAACACATTGTGCAAGACGCGGACTTTGGTTTCAGCCTGCCGGATGCCACCGTTGCAGCTGCCTTGAAATCGGATAGGGACCCGGCTGAAGCTTTTTGCGACAAGGTGATGTCTGCGGAGACGATCCAGGAATTCGCCAAGGCAACCTTCCCACCGGATCTATTTGATGGCTTCAGCGATGAGGCGACCATTGAGAAGACCATGCACAATCTCCTGGACGCTATGGTGGCAGACAAGCGCACTCACCGCGAGCTGGCCATGCGCTATGATTTCTCCATCTCTGGTATGGCTCCACTCCCACACATTGAGGCCGCCAAAGCCTTGTGCTTAAAAAATGGGTTACACCCGGAAACCTTCCTCCTCCTCATCCACAGCAACTTGACGTGGCTCGAGCATCACACAAGCCGCTTGGGTTCTGACCCGCCTCCTCCTGGCTTGGACGTTTTGGCCACCATTCTTGAGCCTGAGCCTCAAGATGACCTTTCTGACATTCTAGACGAAAAGAGTGCCAGGAAGAATGCCAGAAGAGCAAAACACACAAGCCAGCCGGAGCAGCAGCAAGCTGAGCAGGATTCTCATAGCTTCGAAGAAGCCGCAGCAGCGTTTGTCAAGTCCACCACTCACAACACGCTTGCGGAGTATCTTGCTGCAGCAGCCACGCATTTTGGGCGGCCTATGCTTGACAATGAGCAAAAGGTCGTGCGGGCCGCGGTTCTGGAACACATGGCAGAGCTGGAGCTGAAAAAACCCATGGATGCAGCCGCTCCACAGGTTCCGCTCGAACTCAACTTGAAGCCCTCGTGCCACACCATCGGCACAGATAAAGCAGTCATGGCTGCCGGTTCAGCCTTTGCCCGCAAATCCTTCATGAGTGAGTTGACCAATGCGCCTTGGCGATGCATGGGGGCCAGCTTTGATTTTTTTGACAATATGTTTCGGTCATGATGCTAGGGCAACCTTGCCAATCTTTTTTGCCAGTGTTTTGTTGTCCCTCTTTCCAGGATTTGGTGCTTCGGTCCAAATTCGCTCCCGACTGCATCAAGAAGAATGCCGTGTACATGGTGGAAGCGACCTTCAAAGGCGTCAGGGCATGTATCCTCAGCCACAAACGGGTGTCAGCGAGCACCGATGAAATCATCACAGCTTTGCCAACACCATGGGCTGATCCACAGCAATCAGCCAGCCACATACTCAGCAGATCAAAGCTTTGTACATGGACCCAGGGCGAGCGAGATGATGTGATGACTGGAGTCGGCATGATCCACTTGCGGCAGTACCGCTTCCAGCTCAAAATGCTTGGGCAATATGAGGCAGTGGAATGGTGCATGAAAATGACACCGCAAGCATTCTTCAAGCGCATCTCTTTCTCCATCATGCCTGATAGCAGCCCACAAGACGAAGATATCAATTGTAGTCTCTCCTTTGGATTGTGGCAGGCCACTCATGACTTCATGTTCCAAGGCCCTTATCATTGCCCTTCCTTTGTGTACTGCGATGGGGTCGCTCTTGGTCTTCTTCGAACAATCCTGAACGCCATCAAACTTTGGATAGAAAAGCGCAAGTCCGCGAAAAGCAAGACTTGCAAATGGTTCCTGATGAAAATTCTGTTTGCCAAGAATGACATCCTCCGGTCTGCCTTGCCGACGATGCGCATGGTTCAAAGCCTTGCGAAACTCAACAAGCACGACTTGGCCGACTCCAAACGCGTGAAAATTTCTCCACATGAACTCATGTGCGGAGTCCGCTGTTGGATCAGATCGCTCGAGCTCCACGCCGGCTACTACCGCTTTGTGCAAGGTGCAACATCAACGGCTGGCGCAGAGTATCCTGATCGCAATCGCAACCCTCTGGCGGAGGAATTTCAAAATGCACAACATCCGGAAGAGGACCGACCAGAAGCACCTAGCTCTTCGGACGCGTTGAAGAAGGCAATCCTGCAGCATTGCCGCGGATGCGCGGACTTCCTTCCTGCGTCCCAGATCAGCAACAAATTGCGCAGCAAGGGGCCATTCAGGAAATTGCAGAACTTCTCAGCACTGGTCACTGAGCAAGCCGGTGTTTTGACCAACCATGGATTGCTTCAAAAGAAGGACCGGAACAAGAAGGGCAACCACAAGGACCAATACAAGGGCTTGACGTGGCAGCAAGTTCAAGCCGATGACAATGCAAGAGCGGCCTGCGAGACATTGCGTCTGAACCGAGATTTCTTTGCTTGAGCGCTAAGCGTTCAGTTTTGAGCGCTAAGCGTTCAGTTGCCTAGCATTCTGTAAAAAGCCTGGGATCCTAGTTTTCACACGTCGTAGCTTCCCAATGCCAATCCGACCAGGGGAGTGGATTGTTTCAGAGCGTGTGCTAATTAACCATATTCAAGCATAGATGCTTAGAGCAATTCGCAGCGTTGAGTGCTGTCAAAGCTGGCAAAATGTTGTTTGCTCCAGTTCTTGTGTTCTTGAATTCTTTGCCGCTGGCATCTCTCATCATCTCTCTTGCTTCAAACAGTGATTTTCAATCCCTTATTTTGTTTCATGTCACCTGCAGCCGCTGCAACCTCCAAAGGGATCATGTCTGCTTCAACATGGACGCAGAGGCTACCGAGGAAACCTCGAGAAGACAAGAAGGTGAATTCCATCCATGCACCAGCTTCGGTTCAGGCCAGACCGGCCCGAATGACCCAGAAACGGAAACGGGGCATCGAGTCAATGGCCAAGAAGGAAGATCCACCGAGAGATTGTAGATTCTCAGAGCTGACAGACGCACAGGCACAAATGGCCAAGCGGCTGCGAATTGGCCAGGTCAGAGACTTGCGACTGGCCTTGTCAGCAATGAGCTTGTTTGCCTTGGACGCAGACACAGCCTTCGGGTCGCATGGTGCCTTGGGAGGCGACCAGCTCAGGCCACGGAGAGGCCTGCAAGCCAATTGGTGTGGTGTGGAGGTTCACATCCTGGACACTTTCATGTGCCACCGAGTTTTCCGGGCAGACGTTGCCGAGATGAAACCTCACAGACAACGTGCCAACTGTCGTGTACTTGGAGCTGTTCACACCGTGCGGGCAGATGAATTGCAGCATCTTCGTCTCGACTTCCTGCTGACCCTGAAGAATGGATCTGCTGTTTTGGAAGCATTGGGCATGCAAGTGCCTCCAGTAAACCCACCCTTGCCCTTGCATGAAAGTGGTTTCAGTGGCGAGGTTCCAGCTGAGCCAGAGCACTTTTCGCAAGTTTCACAGAAGTCCGTGGTGATTGAGCCTTCCCAAGCCAAGGAACATGTCGCATGGGCAGCCAAATATGGCTTCACGCACAAAGTCCTTCCAGAAAACCGAAGGACGGATGTAAGCTTTCTTCTGGATTTGCCCCTGCCACGTCCATTTGTTGCCCAAGCCTACAGATGTTCAACCTGCCGCCATGGGCAACTTCTCATGGACCATGTCCCTCTCCAGGATGTGCGAAAGTTGCCACCTGCGGCTACGCAGACTTACTTTGTCCCTACAGTAGCAGATATCAAAGCTCGTTTTCCAGAAGCTTTGGTCTGCAAATTGCCACGAGAAGCTCCGGTATACTTCACCAAGCCATTCTTTTTCACATCGCCCAGAATCTGTATGAGACTTTCAACGTCAGGTCAGTGCGGAGACATATCGTTTCCACCTACGCCGCACATGCCCTTGCAGAGGCCATGCGGTTGAAACGTGAAGGCCACGAACCATATAGTCTGGCGTGGCAGCTTTGCTCTGTCTGTCCCTCACGATGGAATTCTTCGCGGGCTTCTGCTCAAAGGTTTGGCTCCCCACATGGAA